AAGGCACCAGATTGTTGAGAAATCGTGGGAGTACGCCCATCCGGTGTACATGTGTTTGTGGACCTAGAGAAAGTTATGACCGGATCCTACGCAGCAGTCTGTGGACATGCCTTCGTCCTTATGGGATAGATGGCCAGCTGCTAAGGGCCACCCAATCACTGTATGTGATAGCAAATGCTGCCTCAGCTTAAATGACGTCAAGTCGATATCTGTAAGCATTGAATCTGGTCTCCGCCAGTGCTACGTTCTGTCCCCTGTTTGTGTTGTACATGGATAGAATAGTCAGGAGCTTCCAAGGCGATGAGGGTATCGGTGTTGAAGATGTGAAGTCGAGAAGGTCTCTGTTTGCAGACGACCTTCTTTTATTAGCATCTTTCAGTGCTCCCTAGAAAGGTTCGCAGCCAAGTGCGACGTGACCGGCCACGTGGCCGGTTTCTGTGTAACAAACAGTTTATGGGATCGATGGCCAGTCGCTATGGGTCATCTGATCACTATATGCTGATAGTAGCTGCTGCGTCAGCAAATGACTTTAAGTCGTAGTTGGCACTGGATTTTGCAAAGGCTGCGTTCCCCTCTTCCAGATGTGTTGTACATGAAAAGAATAGTTCGGCGCAGGCAAGGCGATGAGTGTATCAGTGCACAAGATATAGAAACGAGAATTTTGCTGTTTACGCATGACCTTGTTTTGATGGTATCTTCTGAAACTGACGTACAGCGCTCCCTGGAAAGATTTGCAGCCGAGTGCAAACGTACTTAATACGAACAGTCTAATGCGTTCTCGTACTGGTATTCACTGACCCCTTCACAAAAACGGAAAAGCAGTGGAGCAGGAGAAGAAGTTCACGTACCTTAGGGTCGTATTTACTGGTGACGGAAAATCGGAGAAAGAGATCGACCGGCAAACTGGAACCGTTAGCGGCATTCGGTGGGAACAATCCTGAACCTCTGTGCCAGAAGACTAAGTTCTCTGTGTTCAAGTCGATCTTTATTCCGATATCCACATACAGTAATGAGTTGTAGGCCATGACTCAGTGACGGAAAAACTTCGATCCGGGGTACAAGCGATTTTCTGAAATGAGCGTTCTGAGATGAACTGCTGGGCTCACATGTCTCGAAATTGTCCGGAGTACAGATGTTCGATAGAGCCTTGGTCTCCATACTGGAAAGTCACCCC